TGTCCTTGGTGGGCATCGCTGTCCTTGGAGGGGGGGGGGATGAGCTTGTATTTAGGACTCATGCTCTATGAGCCCAGCTCTGGTCAGCAGACCCTGGAAGAGTCACATAGCTCTTCTGAGTAACATAATGTACTTGTCCCAAATATGGTTCCTTTCTTGCTTCTCTAGGCCCACATGAACCTGTGATGTATAGGTCTGCCACCAGTCAAAATTTTGTGACCGTTTCTTTTATTCCCCATGTCCTATTTAAGTAATTGTGCAACTATGAATAGGGACCCTCATGGCTTCTTGGTTATGTGTTGGGCTGCTAATTTCAAGGTCAGGAGTTCAAATCCACTAGTTGCTCCACAGAGGAAAGTCAAGACTTTCTACTCCTGTAAAGAGTTACAGTCTCAGAAATTCAAGGGGGGCAGTTCTACCTTGCCTAAAGGGTCTTTGTGAGTTTACATCAATTCAGTGGCAGTTAGATTTTTTAATTTTTTATTTGCTATCTATGAATCCTTAAATGCCATTCTTACCTTCACTAACGTCATACTTATTCAGATAATATGTATTTGCCTTTTTCCAGTCTTTGTGCTATTTAAGACTTGTGCTATCCTTACATAATCTTTGAGATTGGGGTTCTCTTTTGTGCTTTAAAACAACATACATCTTAGATTTTGCAGTTGAAAACCTTATACATGGCTCTATGTCATAAAACAAGTGCAAATAAATTGTATACATATAACCAAAACCAAACTATTTGTCACTGAGTGGAGTATGGTGACCCTATTTGTTCAGATTTAGAATTGCTCCATCAGATTTCTAATGACTGTGACCTTTTGGAAGCAAATCAAGGGAATTTTTTCCAATGCACTCCAGAGTGGATTTGAACTGCTAACATTTCAGTTTGTATTTAAGTGCCTACTTAATTGATTATACCACCCAAGGACTCCCTGACATTCACATATGAATAGCTTTTTATTTTTCCACCCCACATTAGGAACTGGGCAGCATTCTGTCTTCAATCAGTAACTGTAAGATTCAATCTTCTTCTAATGGGTGAATCCATAAATTTCACCAAATTCAAGTCTGATTGGTGGTTGATAAGGAAAATTACTCCTATGATTATCTAAAGTTCACCAGGAGCCAAATAATTATATCCTCATGGTGCGTTAGCTGAAATTTGAGCTTTATGTTCTCAATTCTATCAATTAAAATGCATGGCTACATGTTTAAAACTTATTCAAAGAAAACAAACAAACAAGAGTCACACACGAAATGTATATTTGAGGAAATCTGACATTATCCAAGGATTTTTTTTTACTATTGTGTTTTTGTTTAATGTCTTTGCATTTAGGATGGGGAGTGCATTTTTAGGAAAGCAACTGCTTAGAATGTATATCTCAAGAGCTCGAGTCATTCATCATTAAGATTAGTATTTCTCTTTCATTGCACATCTTTGCCTTGTATCTTGAACAGGAAGGATATTCAATACTTGTAATAGTAAACAAAAAAACACACAAACAAACCCCCAAAAACAACTATGGACACTCTGTTGTTGTTGTTGTTGTTCCTGCTGCTGCTGTCACTAGGTGCCATTGGGCATGTTCTAACTCATAGCAACCCCATGTAACACAGAACAAAACACTGTCACACACC